GTTCCTTCACAAGGTCAGCATTGATGGAAGGTAAGGAATCACGCTCACCCAAGCATTCTTGTCCTGTAATGGGCAGGGGTGCCCTGTGGCATTGGTGAAAAAAATGATGCAATGTACCTATTTAGCAAGTTGGCATTTTCCTGGGTATTGGCTGTCAGTGGTCCCATCTGGTTTGGCAGAGGTCCAATGTTGCCTTTGCTTTTCCTTCAGCTCACCACATATCTAAAAAAGGACCTTTTGTTGTCCTTGATACGTGTAGCTAGTTGGAGTTCAGCTGCAGCCTTGGCTTTTCTGGTTCGCTCCTTGCAGGTCCAGACCAGTGCAGAATATTCCTCCTTGGAGGTACATCCACTCCTCCCTCCTTTGTAAAGTCTTTCTTTTTAGATGCAGGAGGTCTGCTAGCTCCCTGCAGAGCCAAGGGGGCTGCTGTGCCCTTTCGATGCCTTTCCTCCAAGACAGAATAGACCTAGCTTGTACATCCAGGATCGCTCCCTTGAGGAGCAGCCACTCATCCTGAACTCCCCTTCCCTTTGGGTCATGGTCTCTTAGGGCCTCACTGACAAGCCTCCTGAGCTTGTCAAAGTCAGCTTTCCTGAAGTCAAGGACTTCTGTGATGCTGACTGACTTGCCAGCTTTACGGTGGATGGTGAAGGTGATCAGCTCATGGTCACTGTCACCCAGCTTGCCTTCAATCGTTAGGTTGCTGATTAGGTCATCCCCCGTAGCCAGTACCAGGTCAAGCAGCGCTTTACCTCTTGTCGGCCTGTCGACTTCTTGCATCAGGTAGAGCTTATCCACACGAGAGAAAGCTTTACGACCATTCAGTTTTGGCTGAGTGCTCTTCCCATGAGATGTCAGGGAAGTTGAAGTCTCCCATGACAACCATGCGCTGGGAGCGTGCAGCTTCAGTCCATTCCTTGGCAAACTCCTGGTCAAGCTCTTGATCCTGGGTAGGAGGTCTGTAATAGACTCCCACCATTGTGTCCCCTGTGCCTTGTTCCCCACAGATTTTAACCTAGCGGGTCTCCAGTCATCCACCCTGGTCACCAATGTCAGCTTGCAGGGATGCTTTCCTTGACAGAGAGAGCTACACCCCCGCCCCTTTTGTCCACTCGATCTCTCCTGTACAGGGTATAGCTGTCTATACCTGTGGTCCAGTCATGGATGGAGTCCTACCAGGTCTCTGTTATCCCTATGATGTCGTAATTATGTGTGTTTAGCAGGAGGACAAGTTCCTTTTGTTTATTCCCCAAGCTCCTGGCATTTAGATCCCTTTAGGGGTCTGTGCCTTGCCCACAGCTCGTTCCAGGGCTGGGACAGGAGTGGGTTCCCTTAAGTGCCATCACCTGCTGGCTTTGCAAGAGTTGCTCAGCAGGCCAGGAGTGGCAGTAGTCCCCCCATCCCCCGACGGGCTTAGCTAAAAGCCTGGTGGAGCAGGTCAGCCAATCTGGCTGAGAAGAGCCTCCTCCCCAGTGGAGAGAGGTGGAGGCCGTCCCTTCCCAGCAGCTTGCTGCCTCTCTCACCAAAGAGCAGGCTGTGGTCATGGAAGCCAAAGCCTTCCCGATGACACCAGTGCCGCAGTCTTTCGTTTACTACCTCAGTCCTCCTCTTCCTCCTCAGCCTGTAGCCCGAGACTGGGAGGATTGAAGAAAACACCACCTGCACCCCCAACCCCTTTAGCCCCGCTCCCAAATCCCTGTAGCACTTCATGACCTGCCTGGGATTGCTCTGAGCCGTGTCATTTATGCCCACATGGATAAGGAGCATAGGGTAGTGGTCAGTGGGCTGGAGGCATTCAGGGATCTTATCCACAATGTCTTGGATATGGGCTCCCGGGAAGCAGCAGACTTCCCAGGCTAAGGGCTTAAATCAACAGAGAATCTGAACTTTAGTAGCTGCAACACATTTTTATGGCGGGTTCATAAACTTGCCTACAGCACTAAGCCTCTTGTTTTCACAGTTGTTGTATAGTCTTCTACAGAGCTTCCTGAACTGTAGATCTTTCCAAGATGTGCTAGAAGACAGCACTGCTGCCACAGACCTCCTAAGGTCTGCAGTGTTCTTTTTACATCATGACCAACACAACCTGGTGTGGTTCTCAATCTAAACAAACACGCAATATATTTGGCATGCTCTTAACTGTGCTTGGAATGTGAGTGTGTGCCCTTATGTAGGCCACTTGGAATTCTGGTCTATATTAATTGCTCACTTTTTACTGCAAGTGCAAAAATTTTGGCTCCTGAGGGCAGGATTTCCTGACAAAAATGCAGAGTTGCCCATCCTTTGTTTACTCAACTGTATTTAAGAGTCTGGATTAACTTTCTTAAAACTTTCCACAGCTGAAGCAGGAAGAATTCTGGTCAGGTTGAATGGGATACCCAAGCAGGAGGAGAGATACTCAGTGACTGTCTGCCTTCTTTTTGTCTCTCCACAAAAAATTCTTTAGAACAGCTAAAAAGTTTTGTACCTGCCTACCTTTCTTCAGAAAGGATCAAGCATGGTGTAGAACTAAACTCTAAAACCAACGGTTAGCTTACATACATATCCAGACATAGATGCATCCTATTTTTCCTGAACAAGAACTGTACAATATTACTGAGAATTTCGAACACCTGCTTCTGGTTTTCCAGTTGCAGATTTCTATTACCTAGTAACATTCAGGCTTTCCAACCTCTGTCAATTTTATGGATTCTTGCAGATGCCCATTTCCTCTCTGTTGTGGAATATGAACGTGTATATTTCAATAACTGGACAACAGGCACAAATGTACCTAATACTTAGCCCAATTTGGATCTGTTTTTTATCTTCCGATTAATGTTTCACTTGACCAGACATTTGTAGCCAACAGAAAGTTATTGTCCCATATGGTTTCTTCGAGCACATGACTATTCCAGAAGTGTTTTAACACAGGAATAACTGTCTACTAACAATTTTGTGGACACACATTATTAAATTTGTTTTTGTGGAACAATACTCGAACAAAAACTCAAGAGTAAATTCTAGATTGTAAATGTTCTCATTAAAAAAAACCATAGAGAGAATTATATCTCTACTTTGCCTTGCCTATAATCTTTTGAGAAGCTGCTCCACAGGCCTTCAACAGATGCTCTGCTCTAGAGCCATGAAAAGTCATTCAAGGAGGGGGAGAGGTTCAGGGGGTGTGGTTCACATGCTTCAGCCCATATATGCTCAATTGTAGCCTGTGGAGAGTACATCTGGTTCAGGCATGGCCATGTGTGAGGCTTGACTTGGCCAAAATACAGGCTTACAATAGTGTTCTTTTTGCAGCTTTAATGTATGCCTGTTTTCTTGCCAAACTCAAATACTGCCAAAATTTGGCCAAAGATGTTTGCTGGATTGCACAATATTTAAAGCTTAAATCCAACAACTCTCTTTGGAAAAACAACTGTATTGTGTCTTTAATGTTTATAGATGTTAGCAATATTTAATTGTTAGTAGTATTTTAAGTTTACAATCTTGCGTTTGCAGTAAATTACCTTTGAAAGGGTCTTTCCGTTAGCTGTAAGTGTCACGAGTCCTGCACAGCACACCAAGGCACTGGAGCTAGATAGACCAGAACTTGGTGGGATGGTTCCATCTAACAGACAATTCATTCCAGTTGGGTTATTAAGACCAAAATATTCCTAACAATGAAAAAATAAACAATCTCAGCATCGAGCAGAGACAGCCTTCAATTTGCAAATATCTTATGCTTAGGAAGAGAGTTTCTCTTGATTTAAATTTCTGATGTCACCAAAAAGAGGGAGGGGAGTTTTAGCATTTTCTTTTTCTAACCCTTGAAAACCAAAACCATGGGTACATTTACACTGCAAAAGTATGAATGCAGCCTGTGCTAGCTCAGGGATTGATAGTAGTGTAGCTGCAGAAGCACAAGACTCATCATACGCCAACCACCCAAATATTAACCCACATTCTTGGGCAGCTTTTGCAGCTTCCGCTAAGTAACTGTGGTTACACTGTTATTGGTTCCTCAGCCAGCTCATTGAAATATAGCTCATATGTGTCTCTATGAGGTGCAATAACACTTAGACAGCAGCGTAGACATACCCTTAATAAAAATGTGTAGAGAAGTGCGTGAGCACAAAGTTTGATCATTTCAATCTTTGATCTATCTTAATACCCATGCTCTCTCAAAGAATTCTTGAAGTCTGATATTTTGCTTGCCCAGGAGAATTTTGAGGCAGACAAGTTTCTTTCTTTCTTTTTTTTTTTTTTTTAAATTACATGGTTTAAAACGAAAACACTGGCGGTTTTATCCCAGTCTTGAAAGCTAGCTGGACTGCCATGATAGCAGTTATTTTTTAGTTAATACTATTTTTTCAATTAATATTGTAAACCCCTCCCAGATATTTAGAGTCTGTTTTGGCTCTATTAAGAGAGGTGCTAGCAGAGCACTGCTGATTTCCCCCTCCTTCCAGACACTTTGCTACTACTCAGGCACTGTTCTGTTAAGTTATCCCTAAATTCTGGTGCTCCTGCTACAGGATTCTTCCAGGTCCTACATTCTGTATTTGTAATCCAAATTGTGTGGAAATGTACAGAAGATCATCACACTTGAATTTTAAGGTACATTTTAGTGATATGGTAGTTTTACAAGTTTTCAAACAGCATTAGCATATAGGAATGCCAACTCTCTGAATAATATAGACAATAAATATTAGGGGCGTGCAAAGCAGGCCGTATTTGGTTTGGATTCGGCCTGATATGGGGGACAGTGATTCAAGTTGTTGATTCGAATCATTGTCCCAATTCAATTTGGCCAAATCTGAAGATTCAATTCTGATTCGGAGAATCAGCTATTCAGCCATAGACACAGCTTTAAATGTATTTTCTACATACCTCAAAGTACCAGGCATGGTTTGTGAATGCTGGGATGCTGCGGTGGCTGGAGCGTCCCACAGAAGCACGGAGGGGGCCCCCGTGCAATTGGTGGCAGACCCAGAAGTAGACTGGAAGTACTTACGGTCCACTTCTGGGTCTGCCGCCAAGTGCACGGAGGACCCCCCCACGCCTCCCCAGCTCAGCGATCGGCTATGGGGGGACCCCGGGTGCCCCCCTAGACCCAGGAGGCACCAGTTGCTG